ACTACTGTCGAGCAAAATTCGGGCCCCCATTACTTTATAAGGAAAACCATTTTGCAGTTTTAATTTCTAGTTTCGTAAACAACATTCAAAACTCTTTCGATTTATCAGGGTCTCCATTCAAGTTCCAAGATAAGTAGATTACTCCTCCCTGGTGAGTCCCATTAGAACAGGAATAAGGGATGGTAAGTGGTACTAATAGAAGCCGCTGACATATTGTCTGCTCCGCAAGAACAGCATAGCTTTGACGCTCAAGTGGTTATGAGAAGGCCGGGATCATAACAGGAGGATAATTGGTGGTGAAAACTGATGAGGGCTGGTGAAAGATTTGAGTTTTCAAGGCTCTGCACTTGTTTAAGATAAGTTGTTCAATGAATGACGAAACAGAGGCGCCAACCGATAGCGCTGATGAAGGGCGTTGACAAAGAATCATCATGACTTTGGTGACGCTTTCCGAAAGAAAAGATCGACACCCCAAATATGGGGTCTAGTGTTAGAAGACAAGTGTCGCTGGATCCGTCATACGAAAAAGCCTGCTGTATTGGTTTGGCAGAAACTTTCAAAGAAGTTACTACATAGCAGTATTCATTCGACCTGAGGTGTATTCAGCTGTGTGTGTTTTCAAAAGCTCATCTTTAATCTACATTCCAAAATTGCAAAATCATTGTGCGAACAAAGCTCGCTCGTCCTATGTGGCGAGGGATTCTGTCGAATATATAAGTTTGCCGTGCAGTAATGCTGGTGTGAAGGACTGACAGTAGCACAAGGAGTTGCATCCTCGATGCATCAGCTCGTTCTGCTTTACGGCGTAATGTTTGCGCCCCGCTGATCATCTACAGCCTAGCAACCGAAGGGCCCTAAAGAACCGCTTAGGAAATGCGCAGCTCTGCCCTCCGACTTCATGAGAGATTGCTTTAAACACAATTTCGAATAACGGAATTCGTTATTCTATTTCCTCAACGTTACGTGGTTCGTTTTGCCCCCCTGACCATATGGTGTTCTCGTTGTGTCGTGAGAACCGAATTTTTTGAGGAACACAATAATATTTTCTTGCAGAATACGCTTTTGTTGTACTGGTGCGAAGTGCTCTGATCCAAATATCCAGACCTTCCGGTCCTACCCATCTGTTTCAGGAGGAATGACAGTATTAGTGTGCATTCCTTTTTACCAAGAGATGCCATTTTCGACAACATGCATAGTCATTTCGCGGAGGCCGGAAGTATTAATCCTTTCTGCTAAGAGCTACGGCTTCAGCCGCGCCTTTCATTTTTCAAGGGCCAAGGTAATTCGCATTTTTTTCATGGAGAGCACATATGGTTCTATTTGCGCATAGTTTGAGGGATTCAAGGGAACTTGCGTTAGTACTCAATTTGATTCATCCTGACATCTCTATAATGATGACAGTTGTGTGAACGGAAACAGTCATAGTGAGACTTCGTAATCTCCCATCAAGTGTTTTGGATAGAGGAACATCCTGAGGTTAGAAGAGGAGCACGACTTCCCGGAAGAATCGCTTTCGATGCTATTTAAAGTGAGTCAGGGCTGTAGGTGATTGATGGGAGGCGTGAAATTGTTTTGCCACGGTTTAGCTTATGTCTTGTGAGACAGATAATGAGTTCGTTGTTTTGACTTGATGTTTTGTTAACTGCTGTTAATTCGCCGCAGTACGCGATCCGAAAGTCTCACAAGGTTGGCGATTTGTGGACAAAACTTCAGCCTCGGACAGGACAAGTACGGGTTCAAGTCCCGTCCGAGGCTGAAGTTTTGTCCACAAATCGCCAACCTTGTGAGTTCGTTGTGCCCATCTGTTGGTAGCCCTGTTGTCGGACGGATGAACAACAGGTCAATTCAATGGAAGAACACGATGAAAGAGACATCCCTAGGCGAAGGCGAAAATAGAGAAGGAATTGGCATGCCGCTATGTTATTGTTTATACAGTGGCAACCCTTACTACAAGGCGCTTGCGTATGTCTGTCTGTCTGTTTGTCTGTCTGTCTGTCTGTCTGTCTGCCTGCCTGTCTGTCTGTCTGTCTGTCTGCCTGCATGTTTGTCTGTCTGTATGTCTGTCTGTCTGCCTGCCTGTCTGCTGTTTTGAATATGATACTACCTTGAAGATGCTCCTGCAGAAGTCGGGTCAAGTGTGAGGTTGGTCGGGCAAAGGACAAGACCAAAAAAGCACATGTGATCTCAGCGGAGCTCCGCCCATTAGCATGCAGTGTAGTGGGCGGTATCATGTTCAAATCTCCTAAAATAGGTTTCATGACAGCCCAGACGCCGCGAAAAATGAGCAAAAGTGAGGAATGGGTCAACAAGTGAAATGGAGGAAACTCATTGGCGGTGGGTGGAGTGTTCGCTCAGTGGGTAACTCGCTTCAACGAAAGCGTGGAGGTTAGAAAAAATAATAAAATGAGTGAGCTGTGCCTTATGCGTGCTTTGCAGGCGTAGACATATCGAAGCTCCGCTAACGATGGACAGATGTGCATTCAAATGTAAGATTCTTTTTAAAAAACCATAACTCTGTTCACAAACGTTCTATTATATGGAAAATAAGTTGTTGGAGGCTAGAGAAGAAATATGGTCGTGTGCTGATGTAGGTCGGACTCCCGGTAAGGTGGGAGGGGCATAGATCATAAATTCATGTCTCTGTTCAGAAACGTTTTAGAATCGAAAAAAGTGGTCAGAGGTAATGAAAAAAGTGTCATCAAATTGCTGAAGAGGGGGAGATTTGTGCTATGGTGGATGCTTATTGTAAGATCAAAAATCCATTATTGTGTTCAGAAACGTTTCAGAATGCAGGGGAAAATGGGGTTAGAGTTAGTAGAAGAAATGTTATCAAATCCTTGAAGTGGGTGGGGTTCATGCTAATTGTAAGATGGTTATGAGCAAAAACTCATAAACTCTGTTCAGAAACGTGCTAGAATACGAGGAGAAAAGTGGTTAGGAGTTATAGAGGGGATGTGTTCAAATCCGTATTTAGGCCAAGTTTGCACAGGGGTGAACGCGGCTGAGGTAAGATCGAAACTCTTAACTCTTTTCAAAAACATTCCAGAATGGAAAGGAAATGTTTAGGTGCAACTAGAAGAAATGTGCCTAACTTTTGTAGTGGGCAGGTCTGCACCGAGGTGTAGCACCGAGGTTCGAAAGTCCTCAACGAGAGCCTTCCGTCCAGAATTCCGCGCACTGCGGTAAGTACTGATCACCACTCTGCATTTCTTTCAATTGAACCGATTATAACTTCCAGTCCACCATAAACTATACTCCTTCAAAAGCCGTTGAAACTCCTCAACAAAAAGCCTAGATCTCAAAATCCTGGTCTCCACGGCAGGTTTAATCAACACTCTGCATTTCTTCCAATTAGGAGATGAGAGATTAGCGTGCGCCCATAACCAACAACCATTTGCCACATTACCGCAGAGCGAGTTTTGACTCAGTAGCCCTATAACGTGATATTCTTTATAAAAAGTATAAGGGAGACAGCAAGAAGTCTAATCGGTCTCTGACAGTCGCATGTGGAGACAGTGGATTTTTGCCCACCTGAGCGGTGAAATCTTGGTGAGTAATGCTTCATACTGTGGGTTTTGAATTCGCCGTCACATCTGCCAGAAAGGTTAATGTGCTTTCGTATACTGTGCAAACCTTCTCGAGTGGCTTTGAATCTCAGAATAAGACGAAACGAGTCGGAACGTTAGGCTCTTAGC